TTTTTTACATCAGTCTTATTATAATACCAATTCATTACACATAGTTAAAATTATCACATAAAAACTGCACTACAGTTTCTTGGCCAATCCCCCTGAGTGGGTATGAGCCATCATCCCAGGGACACAACAAACAAACAAAAAATGAAAGAGTAGGATATTCTTGCAATGGGACTGAAACCTAAAGTGGAATATACATATCCGTGCGGAAGGCTTTCTGAAACACGTAAAAGGGAAGAGTCTGTGCATGTGCAAATAGTGGCCGAATGTATGCCGGTGTGTGCATCCGAGCCGGCACGCGTCTTTATACTTTATAAACTACCGTAATACTCGAGTTGACGCGTGTTCGTGCGCAGCGTGTTGCATCGTCTTGGGTTGCGCTCACAAAGGTTGTACTTACACTTGAGTGTTCATGCAGCTCGTTTAGTAAAATTCCAACTTTCGGTATACAACAGCGACATAGGTTGCCTCATGCGGCCTGAATCCGTGCATTTTAGGCCATTTGTTTACCTTGAACTGCATTTTAGAACAAATATTTCGTGGCTAAATGTGGCCGAATTGCTGTACCTTACTGTGCGAGCACTAATTCAGTCATTAGTCCACGCGTTCAAGCACCATCGATTTTACTCTGCTTCTACTTTGTTTGGATTTTATTTTGGTTTATTAAATATCCTATGCACCTCGTCCAACCTTGGTGTTGAAACTTTGCTAAACACTTATGCGTCTACGAACATTAAGACTAGTAGTTTAGAGCACCAACTGTACTGACGTTTTCTGATTGATGACAAGCCTAACGGTATATTGGATAAACTCTCTAGGCATGTGCAACAGATGTTAACGGGATTTGTGGTATGTGCACAATGAATATTTCATTTATCACTGAAAACTCGAGATAATGTTATAAATCACGATTAGCATGCGTAAGTCATGCGCGTACTGCTGTTAAAATGTAAAATTAGACACCGAATTCATTTCAGAATAATAAATACTACAGACTGCTAGTTTTCAAGCTATTGGCAGAGAGATTTATACAAATTCGAAGATCAGTTTCATCAAATCTTATTGCTAAATCACTGTCAATAGCTTCCAAGATTCTGGTTCCAGGAGATTGTTGCAGAAGCTTGCATGCTTTATTGGGATGGTGTGTGGTTCAAGGTAGGTGCCTCGTATGTCTCAGTATTTCCTATCTCCACATTTTTTTTTTTCATTATACAGCCTGTACTTGGCTTGGCATTTCCTGTCTCCGGTAGGAAATGCCAAGCCAAGTACAGGCTGTATAATGAAAAAATGCATATGTGGGAGGCTAAACGTAGCCTATCTCCACATTTTTTTTTTTCATTATACAGCCTGTACTTGGCTTGGCATTTCCTGTCTCCGGTAGGAAATGCCAAGCCAAGTACAGGCTGTATAATGAAAAAATGCATATGTGGGAGGCTAAACGTAGCCTACAAGCCCGGTGGAAAGTACAACGACACAATAGGACTTTACGTAGGCGAATAGCTAAACTGAATAGAGACATCGAGGAATACGCTTTACAGCTTTGCAAGTCACAGTGGGAAGAGACGTGTAATAGCATGGATAGCCGGGTAGGGTTCACCAAGGCGTGGAATCTCCTCAGGTTCCTGCTGGATCCAGAGGAGACTAAAACAGCATATAGGCAAAATGTCAACAAGATAATCAACGTCTACAAAGGCACCCACGCAGAACTCTTGCATGAACTCAGGATGAGATACACTAATCCGACTAGACCCGTGCTCCACTCTGAATACAAAGGCACTGCGAACGAGTGCTTGGACAGACCTTTCAGCATTGCTGAAGTACGCGCGGTGCTGCACAGGCTCAACACGAAATCATCGCCCGGACCAGACGGGGTTACGAACAAAACGCTTCGGAATCTAGATGACACATCGATAGAGCACCTCACGGTTTTCCTTAACGACTGCTGGGAAAAGGGACGTATTCCCCGACAGTGGAAAACCGCCCGCATCGTTATGATACCCAAACCAGGAAAGCGCATACAGCTGGAAAATCTAAGGCCGATATCGCTGACGTCCTGCGTTGGTAAGGTCATGGAGCACGTGGTCCTCGCGAGACTAACAAACTTTCTCGAGGACCACGATCTGATTCCTCACACCATGCTGGGCTTCAGGAAGAGCCTCTCCACGCAGGACGCCATGCTACAACTCAAGCACCAGGTAATAGACAGCATGACCACTTCTACCAAAGCAATCTTAGGCCTAGATTTAAAGAAGGCGTTTGATAATGTCAAGCACTCGACTATACTTACCCGAATAATAGAACTAGGACTCGGTAAAAGGACGTACGACTACGTCCGTGATTTTCTAACGGACAGGACAGCGAGGATCACATTGGGAGAATTAGAGTCAGGAGAGATAGAGATGGGCAGCGCCGGCACTCCTCAGGGTTCGGTGATTTCGCCCTTGCTCTTTAACCTCGCACTCATAGGGTTACAGCTAAATTAGAAGAGATTGACGGGCTCTCCCACAGTCTGTACGCAGACGACATTACTCTGTGGGTAACTCGGGGATGTGACGGCCAAATAGAACAGACGCTACAGCGAGCCATCGATACGGTTCAAAGATTCCTAGAGGACACGGGCCTCACCTGCTCGGCTGAGAAATCGGAGCTACTGGTTTACAGACCTACGCGCAGAGGTCGAAAGCCCAAATACAGCGAACAAAGCGCAAATCACGCAGAGGAAGCGATACAGCTAACGACCTCGGAAGGCCACGTCATTCCCAAAGTAGACGTTATACGCGTGTTAGGCTTGTATATTGCAGCCAATGGCCACAATGGCGAAACTGTTCGCAGGTTGGAACACGCGGTAAATCAGACAATCCGACTTCTAAAACGAATTACGAACCGACATAGTGGTATGAAAGAAGGGAACACTATTAGACTTGTGCAAGCCTTTGTCCTCAGTAGAATCACGTACGTTGCCTCTTACTTGAATTGGCACGTCGCCGAGAAGATAAAATTAGATTGCTTAATCAGGAAAGTGTATAAGCAAGCTTTATGCTTACCCATGAACACAAGCACAGTGAAATTATTAGAACTAGGCTTGCACAACACGCTTGACGAATTAATAGAAGCGCACAACGTAGCACAGTATGAACGACTTTCTAAGACTAAAACGGGCAGGTACATCCTCGAAAAACTGGGAATCCAATATCACACGCAGCAAGGCGAAAAAGCCGACATAACCGTGATGGTGAGGGAAAAGATAGTGATTCCGCCGTTGCCCAAAAATATGCACCCGGAACATCACACCGGCCGAAGAAACCAGAGAGCGCAGGACTTGCAGAGAAAATTCGGAAATTGCAAGGAAGCGGTATTCGTGGACGCGGCCAGATACGCGCGAAGGTGTGGTTACGTGGCCGCGGTGGTCGACGGTAAAGGGACATGCATGACGAGCGTTACGGTGCAAACGCCACTGACCGAGACGGCCGAGGAGGTGGCCATAGCACTCGCGGTGGCGACCACTGAGGCCGAAGTAGTAATTAGTGACTCGCAAGCAGCGATACGCAACTATGCGAACGGTCGTGTCTCCCGAGAGGCGCTGCGAATCCTAATGACTAACGAAGACAAAATTCGGGAAAAAAATGACACTTTCGTCATATGGACCCCCGCACACACACAAACCCCGCTGGCCGGCAACGAGGCGGCGCACGCGGCGGCTCGAGCACTCACGAACCGAGCCGTTGCGAACGCCGACGCCGCCTCGGACGAAGTTCCACGCGGGGGGGAGTGGGAGTGGGGGGACCGCATGACTAGTTACCACGAAATAACGCAGCACTATAAGCTAGAAAGGCGAAAGTACCCTCCGCCACACAACAGGTTAAATAAAAAACAGGCAGTTGCCTGGCGACAACTGCAAACATATACTTATCCGAATCCAGTTCTCTTTAGTCTCTGTTACCCTGATCTGTATTTAACAGAAAAATGCAAGGTTTGCGATGAAAGGGCGACACTTTCACATATACTATGGGAATGCTCGAGTTTAGATGAAAGCAACGATGAAAACCACGAAGAGGCAGTTTCGGACCGCAGGACACGCTGGGAGGGGGCTCTGCTCAGCTCCTCATTCGAACAACAACTGTGGGCCGTCCAGCGAGCCGAGGAAGCCGCCCGAGCCCAAGGGCTCGTGGCCGACGCCTAGGCCCGTCCCAAATCAACTTCGCTGGACTTCATAAATAAAGTTATTCTTCTTCTTCTTCTTATACAGCCTGTGATGAATAAGTAAAGAGCACTGCCTTTTTAGCCAACCAGAATCATTAAAACTGATGACCACTATTTGGCAGCACACGATAGCAATCTAGTGACACCAATTTCTGACATTATAGGTATAATCGTCCCAGTGTGAGCAGCCTGAAAAAAGCTAGATTAGTTGTATTTGCAATCAAATTCATGTACAATATTATAGGTTGCCTGTAATGGATACTTGACGAAAGTGCATACCATGATGTATGTGTTGTGGTATCATTGAATTTGCTTTCAACGCACTATGCACGAGCGCAATTCAAGCATGCTGTTAAAAAATCTGCAATGTGGAAATTGCATTTTCTTTCACAAGGTTGCAACTGTGTTCGCCAAGAACATCAAGAAAGTTTTGCTTGTAGCATCTCTAGTTGGTGTACATCCTGCTTGTTATATGACACATTGTTCCAAACCATTTTAAATATACTGACAAAATTCAGTTTTTTCAAGAGACACGTGTCACTCATGTCACTAAATTGTTTTTTCGGTGTTTCCATCGCAGCCTATGCATGCACTTAGTACGAACTGAGTGTGAAAAAATTCCAGACAAGCCTGTCATCAATGGTGGCTCGTGGAAAAAGTTGGCTACTGAATGTACAGCAGCTGCGCATGGCTTCCGTTTCTTATGGAAAGGTAACTTCACTGAGCCACCTGGTTGCTGTATTCAAGTAGATCGCATGTTCAGGATGTTCAATATTAAGCCTTTTGTTGTTCTTTTTCTAAAAAAGTCAGTGCTGTAAGTTGTGTGTCTAAAAGCCACCTTTGCAGATAGCTAAGTGTTCAGGCGAACACAATGTGCAACAATAATTATCACTGTCAGCTGTGCCCTTAAATAAGATTCCATAATAGACTTATTAGTGACTGCAGCATGTGGTCATGCACGTATTAAAAATTTGAGCCAGTCACATTTCTACATAGGTCCAAAGAATTCTGGCATGCCTCTACCCAAATATCCCGCTGGAAAGTATTGTTGTGGCTTGTATCATTAAGCATGCAGGACAGTGAGCACTAGCACACAGCTACTACTCGCTGAGGTGCCGCATATAATCTGACCATAGGTTGAACCCGTAGACAAGCACTATAATGGTTACCTTTTCACTACCGGCTGGTGATAGCAAGCACTGACTGCTCTTCCTACCAGGGAGTAATGTTTTGCTGATCTTCACTGCCTTGCATGCGTAATCATGAAAAGCACAATAAACTTCCGAGTGGAATATCTCAGAGCATAAACATGCTTGAAGAATTTTTCCAAGTGGGAGTGTGTAGAAACGCGACTGCCACAAACTGTTCTATGCAAACATACCCATTTATTGCTTATCTGCAAAGGCGGTTTTTTGTTCTTAGGGCAGACTTTTATTGCAAGCACAAAGCACGTCTCTGAATGTGTCAGTGCTGCTTTCTAAGGTTTTATGTCATGTTTAATCTTTGTGTAATCTGCAGTTAGTCACTTAACATTGAACTTTTTGCATTGCTATAAGGCTGTAGCAAATCAGTGGTTTTATTTTCACTGTAATATTGACTGAATATTGTTTTATTGTTTTGTAACCTCATTTCATTGTCTTCTCGAATTTAATGCCTAAGTGCAACCAAGTGATTTTCTACTGTCATACTTAATCATACCTAACTTTGCCAGTACCTATCCATGTGTGATATATTGCAGAGATACCTAACCATGTTTAACATTGTTAATGAAGACTGACAGAAGGCATTCTGGAATACTGTAGCATTTTTAACTCCTCTGTGTCATTTGTGCAAGTATTTAGGGATGGAATTAGAATCCGGGGTGTTTCCAAAATCATAATTTCATTGTCAAACACAGATTTGTGGTGAAACCCTATAATTACGACTATTCATGGTTCTAACATACCTAAATTTAAGCGCACAGGGCGAAAAAAATCCATAGTTCGACTGCTGCTTTTTGGCTGTAACAGAATTTCTACCTTCATATATTTGCTACTGGGCCAATGTGTTTGCTAAGCTAGCCTGTGGAATTTCGTTACACTGATAGAAGTCTGCTCGAAGAGAACAGTTTGTGCCTTTTGTATGTGTGCAGGCTCCTGGACCAAGCATCTGGCCAGCCCCTCAATTGCTTTGTATAATTACAGTTACTATAAAGCATGCAAGTTATGGGACAAAGTGTTAGGTATAATAAAGGTTGCAAGTACGCAACAAGATTTGTTGAAATTTTGCATTTGCTTTTGGATGTGCAGTAAGATGCATTCCAGGCAACACCAGAAACAATAATGAGTTGACGTTTAAAAGCCCGTCTTGTCTACAAGCAAAACAGATTATTGTAATAATAGACGGCAGACGCTAATTATTTCTTTCAACAAATATGGCACCAAATTCGCTGATTAGAATAGTGCCAGCAATTATTTGATGCCAAATTATGTTGCTGTCCCCACTTGTCACTCTCAATAGTGAACAGCTAAATGCACCGATTGTAAAACGCTGACATGACGCAGCAAATCAACCACGGGAAATGCTCAACAAGCTGGCTTGCATAAAATATAAATGTCTAAAAAATGTTTAAAATATCTAGCAAAAGCCTTTTTAGAATCTTGGCAAGACATTTACTAGACTTATAATAATATAAGTATAGTAAACGTTTGCAAAGGTTCTTTAAAAAATCTAGAAAGACGCTTTTTAGAATTCTTGCTAGAAGTTTTCTAGCCGTATAATAACGTGGCGTTAGCACAGCTACAGGAAGTTTTCAAGCTGCTTAGGTTTAAATAACATCTCAACTAGACTTCTTATATACTTTTGAACTATCCTTTTTGGACATTTACTAGAAGCTTTTTTAGCTTTTCTTGTGTTTCGTGGGCTGTCGCCTTCTCCGCTATACCACGCTTTTTACCTCACACCGCTCGGGGCCAGGGCAAAGCTCCTTTACCCGCTGCTCGAGCTCGGTCCGCCCTTCCCGTTCTTTTCGAAGGTCGCCCTTTATTTGCTCTAATAGGCTGGCGGTAGCCTCCTCCCGCTCCCGCAACGCTTCGAGCTGTTCCTGGAGTTCCATCCTCTGCCCCCGTTGTACCCTCAGCTCCCCCTGAAGCCCCTCAACGCTAACCTCCATGCGCTGCACGGCCGCCTTCAGTGCCTCGCACAGCCTGCACACGAAGCTCGTCTTCTGCGCGTCGGCCAAACTCGTGAAGGCTGTCTCGTCCAGGTAACACAAGCGCTTGCTTTGTTCGCCTGTGGTTTTCCTAGCCCCCTTCGCCATCGCCCGCCCGACCATCGGACCGAGCGCTCGACAGCCCTAAGTTCAACCCCAATCCTGCTATCTAGCCGCTTTCGCTAACTCTTCTACATAAGCAACCGTTTGAAGCTGGCGATACACCATATACACTTCGTGTTCGGGTCTTACAACTAACTGTGTCCACCGAACTTCTTCAAAACTTCCGCTTACCCCGTTCACGTGGTCAACGTCTTTGTCGTCGTTCTGTTCTCGCGCTATAACTATCGTCATGTCGTACCAACTAACCCAAAGTGCCACACTTCTAAGTGCCAAGTTATTGCAACTTGGTATAGTGGCCATAAAGATTTCCTAGTGTCGTGAACCATAGAGTTTCCTAATACACACTAGAGGGTACGCTGGCACTAGTGTCTATGGGAGCCGCAACGCACGGCCCTTCAGCGAGCATGGGAATGGTGCGTAATAGTGTGATACACACATTTGTCTAATATTCGTACTTATGGTCTGCTTCTGGCTCCGTGTGTGTTTGTGTGGCTTGGAGCTGTTTTCTTATGAAACAAATATTAGCAAATTTTCAGCGGTCGCGCTTCACCACCTTATTTTTTTTAGGCTTACCTTTCCAAATCGGGTCACGAAGTTCAAAGGGTTCAATCTTTCTTTCATAACAAAACCGAAACACAGCAATAAACAAAGCCGCAAGTACGATTCACCGCCCGCAAGTACGAAGACTAGGCAAATGTGTGTACTACTAATATATTATATTCTAGTACACTCATCAATCCCATGGTCACTGAACGATCACAGCGCCAGAGTCCCCTCTAGTTAATTTTTGGAAACTCTATGTCGTCAACGGACGCCTTCCCAAGCGGCAGCGGATAAACTGAATTTTATGCACCGCGACGCGGCGCTGTTTGTTTCTGGCGCTCGGACCGCATCCGCTAACCGCATCCGCTAGTTCAGTTCGAGCTGTCACGGGGGATGGACGTGTTTTTCGAGCGCTCCGGATCGACTGCGCAGATAAGTGTTTTTGCATGTTTTGAGCTTGTCTTTATAATTATAAGGCAGCAGTTGAAATCTTCGTAGCACTTATTTTATGGTACGGCTTTTTCGGGGGCCAGTCACCAGGTATTTATTAGTGCGGGTGTGTGTGTTTGAAATTTTGTTGTTGTTTTTTTTCTTTCGCCACCCCGTGGGGGAGGTGCGCGTACATTGAACACGCAAATTTTTGTAGTAGAGCTTAGACTTTCTCTTTTTTTT